TTTTTTTTTTTTTAACCATTATGAGGTTTTTAATTATAAGGTACAGGTTAGCATTATTACTATAGTTAAGAAGCTTTTTTTAAAAAAAAAAAATTAGCTTTTAAGGGCCAAATGCCACCATCAAACTGGATTCCTCATTGCTGTCCTGTTTCAGTCTCATGATTTGACTGAAGTATGATCTTTTCATTTGTTCATTATCTGGAGAATCACCTACAACAGGTCCGGTGCTGGGTATGAGAAATAAAGATGAGGACACAATCCTGTCTTCAAAGGGGAAAAACATTGTCAAAAGTATTATTGGAGCCACTCTAGTAGTGTGTTAAAAGTGCAGTCGGGTATGAAGGAAGGACAGTAGGAACTGAAAAAGAGTAAAAGAAAAAATGAGATGTGAGACTGCATTATCTAAAGATTAGATGTTTCCCAGGTGATGATAAATTTCTCATCTGGGAAATAGCCTTTTAGGCAAAGCAAACAGGTGAACTAAAAAGGAAAGAATTGTTTAAAAGGAATATATTATTAGGCATTATATGTAAGACAAGAGTCCAGAATAAGAGTTGCATTGCAAAGAGGACTGGGGGAGGGGGAGCGAGGTAATGGTACAACAATGAATGAATATTTAAAAAAACAAAAAAGTAAACTGGGGGAGGGGGAAAGGAGGGAGAGAGAGTGCAACAATGAATGAATGAAAATCTAACTTTTCTGTAAACTTTTGTTAAAATCATAATTAAAATAAAAAAAATTTAATGTTTATTTGATTCAGAGGGAAATTATAGCTGGGAGGAGAAACCAGGAAAGACTAGATTTGTTAAAATAAAAAGAACATGGACTCTATCCCATAATGTCTGGTACCACTGACTGCGGGTTTGGACTCACAGCCACCACAGTACAACAGTAGAAAATACTGCCACCTGCAAAAGTATCCTCATGTTTGAGACCACTGTTGCAGTCATGGTGTCAGTCCATTTCACTGAGAATCTTTTTTCCTCCTGTGACCCTCTATTTTCCCAAGCATGATGTGTCCTGCAGAGACTAGTATATGATACAGCCTAACCATCCTCACTGAGAGGCAAGATTTGCTCATTCTTCTGACAGTCCATGATATATTCAAAACTCTAACAACACTAGAATTCAGAGGTATCAAGATTTCTGCCTTTTTTATTCACTGCACAGCTTTTGAATGTAGATGAGGCAACTGAAAATACCACAGCTTGGGCTGCGGTAGGTGCACTTTAGTCCTGAAAGTGACGACCTGCCCATCAACAAATGAATGGAAAGAGAAGCTCTGGTATATTCACACAATGGAATAAATACTATGCTGCATTGAAAAACAAGGAACTCATGCAGTATTATTCAAAATGGGTAAGCCTGGAGGACATTATGCTGAGTGAAGTATCTCAGTCACAAAAGGACAAA